CGAGGGACCTCAATGTGCGCCCCCCACCTCGGTGCTAGGCTGGGGGACCTCAGGCTGCTCCCCTCACCCTGGCCTGGGGGACCTCAGGCCATGCCCCCCACCCTGGTGCCAGGGGACCTGAGGCTGCGTCCCCCACCCAGCGGGACTTGACAAGGGATCTCAGGCCACGTCACCTGCCCGGCATGGCTTGATGGGGGCCCTGAGGCTGCGCCCCCCCACCCAGCAGGGCTTGATTGGGGACCTGAGGCTGCGCCCCCTGCCCGGCGTCGGGCCAGGGGACCTGAAGCTGCATCCCCCGCCCAGTGGGGCTTGACAAGGGTGGGGCTGGCCAGGTCTGGATCTCGCCCAATTGGGGTGGGGCCAGCTGGGTCTGGGTCTTGCGTAATTTTGAGGTGCCATGGGTGGGCAGGGACTTGACTCTGGGTCCTGCGATGTGCCCTAAACTCTGACAGGAGGAAGATTTTCATATACATTTTACTAATTTTCTTTCATCTCTGACCCTTCTATTATAGAGAAAGTGCAAATGGCAATATTAAAATATTTCCTCTAATTAATCCCCTTTTAATGTGCACGAATTTCGGGCACCAGATCACTAGTCCTATATAATAAAAGCCTAATATGCTAAGTGCCCAGTCGACCGGCCAGCCATTCAACCAATCAAAGCATAATATGCTAATGATATGCTAAGGCTGCTCAACTACTCGCTATGATGTGCACTCCCCACCAGAGGGCAGACACTTTAACCAGTAGTTTAGCTTGCTGCTGGGGTCCAGCTGATTGGGACTGAGTGAGATGGGCCAGACATGCCCTGGAGCCCTCCTGCGGTCCCTCCCCAGCCCCAATCATGCACCGGTGGGGGGCCCTCGGCCTGGCCTGTGACCTCTCGCAATCTGGGACCCCTCAGGGGATGTCGGAGAGCCAGTTTCAACCCGATCCCAGATCAATGATGAGAGAGAATCATTGATCGGCTGCCTCGTGCACCAGGCCTCTAGTATTTTATTAAAAGGGCAAATATGATTAACCCAGCTGTTTACTTGAATTACAAAAGTAATGTGACTCAATATGAAAATAAGGAACTGTCTACAAATCTCTGACAGGTATAAATGGCAATATACAGTGCACATAGGGGTCACACAGAATAACAAACTCTCTTATAAAAAAAATATTTTAATGCCTTTCAAATTCAACTTTAAAATTATCCATGGAAAAGATTGTCAAGTCAGAATGAATACCTCTTAGTCAAGCGTCAGAAGCTGCACACCGTCAATTTAATATGCAGCGACATCTTTTCCCCAGGCCTTTTCTTCTCAATCTGCTCCTCAACACTCCCCACTCCATCCTTTCCTCAGTCCTGAAAATGGAATGTGTTGAACATCTGAAATCTGTTGCTATGATGTTGTGCAAACCATAACATGCTGTTGACCATCTGTAGCCACTAAGCCAGTGGAGAACTGGTCAGTCAGTGCCTCCTGGGACAGCTGTCCCCTTAGCCCATCTGTAGCAGTGATTCTACCAACACCTCTCTCCTTTCATAGCTTCTGGATTTCTGAATCTGTAATTTCAGAGGTTTTATATGACTGCCAGCCTAGGGTGGACATGGCAGGGAGAACATCTTCTCCATTGTCTCCTTCTGAAGGCATCATTCTTGCTCCAGGTGCCATGAAGCTGATGAGCTCACACACTGTTGAACACATTCTCTGACATGTTTTGCAATCTTTCCCATGTGAGGTATGGCATTTTTCATGATACTTGCTACATTTGTAATTGGAAGATAAATACCTTGTTCTCTGAAACTTTTTTAAAAAAATGGATTTCAGAGAGGGAGAGAGATATAGAAAGATCAATGATGAGAGAGAATCATTGATCGGCTGCCTCCTGCACGCCCCCTATTGGGGATGGAGCCTGCAACCCAGGCATGTGCCCTGGACTGGAATGGAACCTGACCCTTCAGTCCACAGGCCGATGCTCTACCCACTGAATCAAACTGGTTAGGGCTCTGAAACTTTCTTTTAAACCATCTGTGTCTTGATGGGCAGCTGTCCTGGGCACCATCCTAAGGCTGCATCACATAATGACTTCCTCCAGTGTAGTCCGTGTAATGCCTGGTTGAGAGGCATCTATTGAGAACTGTCATCACCCATTGTCCTGAAACAGAACACCTGTCTAGCTCCTGCCCTCACTGCTGCTGGTCCAGTACTAACACCCCTGCAGTCCTTTCCCCGGGGCTGCAGGAAGGGTGGGATCCTGCACCATGTTCCCCACAGCAGTGGCAGCCTGGGCTCTGCACACATTCCTGGGCCACCCTCGGAGCTGAGACCTCACTGCCAGGGAGCCTGAGTGTGGCTATGGGCCACCCCTGAGGTTAGAGCCTGCAGGCCATGCTGCCCAGCCCTGCCCCGCCCCTCCTCTTGGGTGGAGGAGGCCTAGGCCATGGCCTACGAGGAGGAGTGGAACTTGGGCAACTTTGCCAAGAGGGGCTAGAAGTGCCCAGCTGGAGTGGCTCAGTTCGTTGGAGAGTCACCCAGCTCCGAAAGGTAACTGGTTGGATTCCTGGTCAGGGCACATGCTCGGGTTGCAGGCTTGATCTCTGGTGGGGCCATGCAGTAGGCAGCCAATCTCTCTCATAGATGATTCTCTTTCCCTCTCCCTTGCTTTCTCTATAAAAAAAATTTTTTTAGGGAGAGAGAGAGAGAGAGAGAGAGAGAGAGAGAGAAGCAAGAAGGAGAAGGAATAAGCAACCCATACCAAGGCTGTGACAAGGATGAAGGTAAGTGGAAAGAATCTGAGCAAATAAAGGTTGATTACAGTGGCCTCAGAGATCAGACAGTGCAAATAAGTGAAAAGGAAGATGATAGTGAAAAAAGATCCACGTGTTAATTGGGAAGAAGGTAGAGCTGCTGGTGGTGGTGTAAAAAAATATTTCTACTCTAGTAATTGTTCCAGAAACCCCAGAACCGGCAATGACTAGAGGAGGAGACAGGTAAACCACAGCAAGGAAAACACAAAGATCACCAGAAATACACAGTGATCCGCAGTTCCCATCCCTGCAGTCCACTGCCAAACATGTAGAAAGCTGAAAGGTAAGGAAATGGAGAAGAGCTTTAAAGTAGTAAGACACAAAACTAGAGGTACCAATGAAGTTTCAAAAAACCAGGCCCTTAAACTTCAGCCAGACAACCAGTATGCTGTGTTTGAAAATCAGAAAAGCAGCCACACACAGTACAATTAAGGAATGGTCTTTGCTAACACTGCTGAGGTAACTAGACCACAGCTAACAACCAGCAGCAGCCATTCATCATTTGATCTCTGCTGGGTCTACAGCAACCAATGCGGACCCTCCATGTAAGTGACAGGCCTTATTGCACTATGGAAGTTGTGTCACAACTGCTCTTTAAGTATATTGAATTCAGAGGGATTTTCAGTGTTTTAAATGTGTGAACTAGATTCATCAGTGTACTTTCATAATAAGTATTCTGTAAATACAAAAACAACAACACAAAAACGGCAGCCAGTGGTCATTTCAGAATGTGTTTATGTTCAGATACTGAGCCCTCATGAGGCTGACTACCTCAGAGTTGCTGCACTCCTGGACTCGCGTGGATCACAACTTCTGGATAAGGTGACAGCTGTGAAGTGGTGATGTGAAACTTGAAACCAGCTCTACTGGATCCCTATTGGAAATCCTGCAGTCAGCCATCTGGGTTCTGATCTGCTGTAAAAGATAAAGATTTAAGTGACCTTAACTAACCTGTCCTGTGCCCCACCCTCCAGGAATGCTCTCTGTAGTGGGCTCTGGCTCTATTAGACTTCCTGGAACATGCTGCTCTCAAAAGAACTGATGTGTTCAGATGCTCTGTGTAGGGCTATGATTTCTAATTTAAACTTTCAGTTGAATTATGAGGTAACCACAAATTCAATACAACTTGGGTTCACCAAGTGGGAAGGGGCATGGGAGGAAATAATCTTGTTTCTTCTAGTAATTTTTAATTTGGGTAGTGCTTTTTCTGTGTTCCACATGAAGGCCTTTCTTTTCTTTGACTTGGAAGTTCTTTGACAGAGCATATTGCTTGGTTAGGTGACTTAAAATATGCATTAGAATTGTGAAATGTCTCATGAAAGGCCAATCCCTAGAGGGGAACCAAATAGCCTTTGATGTAAAGAACAGTGGATGCAAGGGGCTCTACTTCAGGTGCTGCTAAAGCCTTCTCGAATCAGGTATAATTGTAAAGTTAACTGCAGTAGAGAGTATAGTTTCTGCTCAGGCCAAGGGATTCACTGACCTGTTCTTACAAGTTCAAAGCAACATGAGCAGAACCTCAACCTAAAACCTGCTTAGGTTTCATGGATCTTGCATGATCTTTGACAATTCCAGATATATGTGTGCCCAAATTTTTAAGTTATTGGACATTCTGTAAATGTAGTGATTGTCCCAGAGTAGCTCTGTTATCAACCTTCTGGTATGTCTTTATGCTGTTCATTTATAGTCAGGGGCAAACAACAGGTGATGTGGCACTTCTGTTTTTAATAATTATAGCTCCCTGGTAAAACTATCCAGTCATTTTTAGTCCTAAAAAGGGACTTCAGGGAGATACCCAGAATACACAGCAACCTCCTATTCAAAATTCCTCTAGATTAATTAGCATGTCTTATTTCTGTAAACAAGTTAAATCTGTCTGTATGCATCTGGTATCTACTTTCACATGGTAAGTCCTTTCCCACTAGGTGTCGAGGCAGTCAGCTTCCATGGCTCTGTCGCCGCGAAGGAAAGACTGGTGCAACGGCAACGAGCATCACAACTTGAAGTCACACTAAGTGTTCTAAGGGGCCAATTCTGAAGAGGAGAAGAATTCGTTTTGGATGTATGTTTCATTTTTAAAAATATACTTCATCCCATTTTCCCATGTGTTCCTATACACACATTTGAGAAATTATGGACAACAAATGGGTGCAAGGCCGGAGGCAGGAAACAGGACGCGGAATTTCGTGAAGGACTGTTTCCGGGAACCAGATGGGACTGTCACTTACCTCTTTGGTCATCAAAGGAACAGGAGGGAGAACAGACACTCAATGTCCTTGTCAAGCTCACCTGACAGTAATGATGTCAGAATAAAGCATTTAAATACAAGGTTCAAACTAAAAGAACAAAAAAGGCATCTTCATAGGTAATCACCTGACATTTCCAGCATTCTCATGTATTTACTTGTGGTTTTAAAAATAAACTACAAGTATAATAAAATGAATCCAATGGAAAATTGATGCATTTTTAAACAAGAGATTGAACAAACAGGTTTTCAAATATTAAAATCCATTTTCAATGTAAAGCCCCGTTTCATTTCATTTCAGAACATTCCTCTCAAATTTTTATAACTTTAATTTTAAAAGAACTGTTTTACATTCCCCCTTATAGAAAAAAAGAAAGGTTTTCTATATACTGAAATAGCTTTACTTCTATCAGTTGAAACTATCAATTCAACTTAAACTAAGTGAACTAGATAGTATTTCAACTATCTAAAGAGCAATTTTAAAGGCAATTCCTCTGCTAAACATGGAAATAAGTTGTAACAAAGTTTGTGAGAAAGTGATTTATTCTACCATTTTTAAATATGGCAGAAATGACATCTAGCTGCGTATGTAGTGAAACACCACTAGGATCAAGCTTTGAAGTCTACATGGACCTTAACTGTGGGAGTTTAAATGAATACCTGTAAGATTAAGATTGCACTTCAATCATCAAAGTCTAAATAAAAGGAAAAAACAGACACCAATGTGTCTAATTGTTCTAATATATAAATGACCCTGACCAAACTTTTATGGAAAAAAAAAGAAAACATTTGTTTCTATTGTCAACTTTGTTTTCTATAAATATAATGTATAAACTTTAAATTAGCATATTAGGGATGGGTCCTCCCCCCACCAACAAAAACCAACGATAAACAAAACTAAAAAAATGCATAAAGTCAAAACCAAGGACAGAGTAATGTGACTGTTCCCGGTCAGTGCTGGTTATGCTGCCCTCTTGCAAAATGACAGGCGAAGTCGCACTTGTTTTTACATTTGCATCCGCAGATGTTGCCCTGGAAAGGGTTCTCACACCCATGACATCCCATGTGAATGATGGATGTTGTCGGCAAAGTACATGTCACAGTGCTGGCAGTGGTGCAGGAGCTGCGGGTCCTGGGCCGGCAGGGTCGGGGCGGGCGTGCTCGGCTGGCTGTTTCCTATGCTCAGGGTGCTCGTGTAGGCACTGGGTTCGCTGCTTGGATCTGCCACGGGACGTAGTTCCTCTGGCTCTGGGGCGGCCGGGGCTCCGGGCTGGTGGGGGGGGGGGCGCTCTGAGGAATACTTGCGGCCACGGCAGAAACCACTGCCTGGGCCGAGGGCTGCTGCATCAGGAAAGGCTTCTCGTCCGGGCAGAGCACTACGTCGGGGGATGCGCCATACTTTCATAGGAGTCCGTCTGGATGTTGGGGATTTCATGGGTGAAATCGTTAAGGTAGTCTGGCTTCTGAACCACCATGGAAGGTGGACGTAAGTTGATTAGTGCTCTTCTGCTATAGCCCAGGTTGCTGGTTTTCTCCTGTAAAACGCCCCACATTTTCTTGCTGCTTAAGGAAGACCTCGCACCTTTGATTGGTACCATCTTATGCTTGCGCCATCGATGATGGGAGAGGTTACTTCGATCGCTGCAGCGGAAGGAACACAATTCACATTTATATGGTTTTTCTCCTGTATGGGAACGCATATGGGCTTCCAGGTGACGCTCGTAAGCAGAGGCAAATGGACATAAGTGACATCTATGAGGTTTTTCACCTGTTTCAAAAGAAAAATGGGGGAGAAATGGCAAGACAGAGGTTGAGAGATGATTTGGAGCAGGAGAAAGATGGCTGAGGAAGGGGAAGCTTTACAAGGGGCCTCACTTCCTGGGTGCATGTTGTTATGCTATCACTTTGTAAAAATACACTACTTCCCATCTATTCAAACCTTACGTCAACCTTCATTTTTAAACTATCAGAACTACTTATACCACAGGTCAGCCTGCCCTCCTTGGCCCCTCTCCTGCCCCCACAGAAGCGCGCCCCTCGCCCGCTCTGTTACCTGTGTGGATTCTGATGTGCTCGATAAGCCGGGCTGTCCCTTTGCTGGCATAGTTGCAATAACGACACTTGACCTTCCCATCGAAGGTCCTTTCGAAGCCGTCTACTAACATTCCTGAGTTTTCATCCAGGGAAACTTCAACAGATGGGTGGTCAAGTCCATTTTGATCGCCATCTGTCCCAGCTCCCTGAAGAGCCTCTGCCTCCTTGTCCCCGCTCACTGACCCCGAGATCATGTTCACGTGGTGGGTCTGCTGGGTCAGGTACTCCTGGAAATCCTTCATGAAGTCCAGAGGCTCTGGCTTCTCGCCCATCTTGTTTGTTTTGTGTGGCTTGTTTTTAAAGTTTACAGGTCATTACACCTGGGGGGCACTTTTCACCCCAGACCAGTGCCTCCTTGTTCTGGCCACTCCAGCATGGATGAAATGCAGAGGAGCTGCAGTGTGCTCTGGAGACGCACCCGGCGGATCCGCAGGCCATGGAGGGACCTTCGACTCAGATGGAAAAGCCTCAGGGAGGACGCCTGGCAGCTGCCCCGAGTCACCCACGCCACCGCAGCTGCTGCGCGGCCGCCGCCATGTTTGGTCACGAGTTTATTCTTTTTTTTTTTTATAATTTTTATTTCTTAAAGTATTAAAAAGAGTATTACATATGTCTCCCTTTTTCCCCCCCTTGACATTCCCCCGGCCCCTACCCGCCCCCCCGGGTGTCTTGTGTCCATTGGTTAATCTTATATGCATGCATATAAGTCC